CAAGCCCAACAGACCCAAAGGGCTAAAGAGAGCAGCATCTGCCCTATACAGACTCTTTGACTATCGAGGTCGCCTGTCACCAGTGCCAGTGCCCAGGGCAGTTCCTGTGAAACGACCCCGTGTCACAGTTCCTTTGGTCCGTCGTGTCAAAACTACCATCCCTGTCAAGCTCTTTGCCCGTTCCGGAGGCATGACTACCAGCTCAGCCAAGATCAAGTTAAAGAGCAGTGAGCTGCAGATCATCAAGACAGAATTGACCCAGATCAAGTCCAACATTGATGCTCTCTTGGGCCGCTTGGATCAGATTGCTGAGGAGCAAAAGGCCAACCCAGATGGCAAGAAGAAAGGTGACAACAGCAGTGGTGGTGGCGGTGGCAGTGGCAGTGGCAGTGGCAGCGGTGGCAGCAGCACCAGTATCAGCAGGCCACCCCCACCCCCAGAAGACACACCCGAGGCAGGCATCACCCAGGAAGAACCCCAGACTCGAGATGATTGTGATGAGGAGGGGCTTCTGACGCATAGCGAGGAAGAGCTGGAGCACAGCCAGGACACAGATGCAGAGGATGGGGCCTTGCAGTAAACAGCCTGACAGGAGCATTGGCCACCAGCAGGAGAAGGGCATCACTGTCCAAGGCCTCACACCAGGCACCCACTCCCTGGATGCCAACTTGTAGCGGGTACCAGAGGAAAGCTGGCAACAGGCACTCCTGGCCTCCCTATGCATCCCAGGCTGGTACCTCGTCTTCTGCAGGTGGAGTTATTGGCTACCCTTCCCCCCATGCACCCTCCCTGTCTGCACTGTCCAGGCCAGAGGGCAGAGCACAGGGGGTTCCTCACACTCTGCCTCCCCTCCCCAGGACATTCCTAGGCTTGGGGGTTTTCTATAGGTTTGGATGGGTGGGTGGTAAAGGATGGGGACCTTGACAATAAAGAGATTGGATCTAGAAAAAAAAATGACATATGTGCTGTAATGTTGCTTTTCTTTGTATGCCAATATTGAGATTTTCTGGAGTTATAAACAATACCATAGTCTAGTACCAAAAACAGGATACTAGACCAAATAGGCAGCAATTTTTCATCCTTAATAAATTATAGAGGCAGGATCTTGAGACAGACTCAAAAACAAAAAGCCAGCTAAACCTAGACCACATCTCTGAAAAGTAGTAATTTCCTGTGGAGGTCTTAATAGCAATAAAACTATCTACTATAAGTACTTCACAAGCATGAACACATAAAAAAAGTTTTTTAAAAACCAAAATGAGAAGACATGGAAGCAAGATGCATCTCAATACCTGCCGTGCACCCAAGTAAATCTAGGGAGCAGACAGTTTGAGACATCAAATGCCTTGTAAGACTAACCTGTTCCATAATTTTGTTATGTTGTATTTGAAGCTATCATTTAATTGTAGAAATTATCTAAGGTTTTCTTTAATTTCATCTGTGACGCGTTGTCTGTTCAGGAGAACGTTATTTAATTTCAATGTGCTTCTGTGGTTTTGTGGTTTCTTTGGTATTGATTTCCAGTTTCATTGCATTGATTTGATAATATCTGTGAGACAATTTCAGTTCCTTTGCATTTGCTTAAGAATGGCCATAAGCTAGTATATGATCTAGTTTGGAGAAAGTCCCATGTGCAGCTGAGAAGAATGTGTATCTTGTTGTGGAGTGGAGTACCCTGGAGATATCTACTAAGTCTATTTCTTCAACCTAAGTAAAAGGCCTTTATATTGAAAACTACTATAATTTGAAAGAGGAGATAAAAAAAAAGATGTCTGAAATACTCTTGGGGAGTCAGGACCAATAGAGTAAAAATGACAATACTCCCAAAACTATTATACAGATTCAATGCAATACTGATCAAAATACCAAGAGCGTACTTCACAGAACTAGAGAAACAATCCTAAAATTCACTTGGAACCAGATGAGTCCTAGAATAGTGAAAGTAATTCTGGGTAACAAAAGAAAGGTAAGAAACATCATAGTCTTTGGCTCAAAATTATTCTACAGAGCTACTGTGGTTTAAAAAAACAAAATAAAACAGCATGGTACTAGCAGAAAAAGATTAATGGGACAGATTAAAAGATGCAGACACAACTTCAAATTCATTCAGCCATCTTATTTTAGAGAAAAGAGCCAAACACCTTTACAGGAACAAAGATAGTCTCTTTAATAAATGGTGCTTGTAAAATCTGGTTTTCTAACATGTCAAAGATTAAACTTACACCCATATCTTTCACTATGCACTAAACTAAAATAGAAATGGGTCAAAGATCTAAATGTGAAAACAGAAACACTAAACATGATAGAAGGTAGAATAAGCAAAATTCTAGAAGACACAGGTATAGGCAAAGACTTTATGAACAAAACCCAAATTGAACAGGAAATATTACAAAGACTCAACAATTGGAATTTCGTCATATTAAAAATCTTTTGCATAGCAAAGAAACCATCAACAGTGGGCTGTAAGCACCTGCCTGGCAAATGCAAGGTCCTGAGTTCAATACCTGGTACCACAAAAAAAAAAAAAA